TCAGGGCACCTGGGGGGCTCAGTCTGTGGAGGTTCTGCCTTCGGCTCGGGTCATGATCTTGGGGTCCTGAGATTGAGTCCCGCGTTGGGCTCTCTGCTCATTGGGGAGCCTGCATCTCCCTCTCATGCTCTCTCTCTCTCTCTAAAATAAATTTAGAAAGTATTTCTTAAAAAATTGTATTTCAAATGCCCAAGTCTCTTGGCTAGTGTGTGCAAATTTAGCCACCTTCCACTGTGTCAATAGCACCCTCTATGGAACTTTAGGACCCCCTTCCCCTTACAGAGTTCCTCCACTCATATGAACCCCAACACACACACATGCAGGTGCACACACATGTGCATACGCCGTACTGAGATTTTGCTGTGCCTCCTCACCCCACATCAGCTACAGTTCCCACGAGGTAGCGTCCTGCAGTTAATTTTCCAGCCAACGTTTATAGAAAGCATACTATGGGCCAGGTGTGGTTCTAGGCTCTGGGGAAACCACAGTGAAAAGTTTCTGCGTCTGTGGAGTTTACATTCTAAAATAGCACCGTCTAGTAGAAGGTCCCTCAAGGATAGAAACAGCCTGCGCTGTTTAATACAAGAGCCACCAGCCACACGTTACTCTTGAGCACTTGAAAAGTGGCCAGTGTGACTGAGGAACTGATTTTTAATTTTAATTTCATTAATTTAAATTCAAAGAACCGCATGTGGCTAGTGGCTGGCGTATTGAAAGCACAGTTCTAACGGAAGAAATCAGTGAGTAGGTAAATACTCTCCCCTCCCTCCTTTAACCACAAAATGTATGAGTAAATCTGAAATATTGGAAAGTGCTATGAAGAAAGCAAAGGAGCGTAAGGAAAAAGAGTGATGGGGGGAGGCATTAATTTCGGTGGGGTGGCAGTCGGGAAAGGCCTCTCTGTGGCAGGATGACTTTCAAATGGAGCCGTGCGCACTGAGGGGCCCTGGGGTGGGACGTTCCAGCAGAGGCCCTGAGATGGAAAGGATGCACCTGTTCCAGCAGCCGGAGGGGGATGCTCGAGAGGGATCAGGAAGCATGGGTTTGCAGCTGTTATAAGGGCACCGAGAAAGGGCTTCATGCAGAAAGGTGACGTGAACTGATTTTTATCTTAAAACATCCCTCAGCTCTGGAGGGGAAGGAAGCAAGAGACCCATGGGAGGCTGCTGCAGGATTCCAGGCAGGAGGTGATGGTAGCTGAGACAAGGCAGGGAGAAGGGGAAGTGGTGCGAAGTGGGCTAGTACTAGATTTATTCCGAAGACAGCATCCACACGATTGCGGATGGATTCACTGGGGTGACACAAGGAGGTTTTTAGCCAGAATGAGCAATGGTAGAGCCATTGACAGATGAGAAACTCTGGAGGAGGCAGTGAATGGCGGAGGGGGGAATGAGAGTCTGATCAGCAGGAATGTGGAGGCTGAAGATATTGATTTGGGTGTGCTCAGCAAAAAGACATGGTCCCCTCTGCTCTGCTGCGCCCACGTCCTCTCCTCACCAGTGCCCTAAGGGATCCTCGCCCACTGCTGATGACATTGCCCAGCATGGAAATTCCAGGGCTCCTCCTTAGAATGGCTGGGCCCTGGGTTCACAAGGGGAAATGCCCCTCCCTGAGTCCTGCTCAGCTCTGTCACCTGAGCTCCTAGGCAGGTGGGTATGGGCAGAGTACCACAGAGTTGCTCATAAAAATAAGTCTTCACTTCTGCCTTGACCACTCTCTTCAGTGGGACTCCCAAACCCAAGCCATTCCCCTTCTCCCTGGATGTCAGCTATACGTGTTTGTAAACCCAGCTCCCTTCTCCTTTAACCACACCATGAAAGGGCCCCTCTGTATCAGCCCATGCATCTAGATGCTCAACAAGGCTAGTTCCCCAGTTTGCGTTCTCTTAACATACCCTACTCCTATTAAGCAAATTGTTCCTGTACTCCCAAATTAATATTTGTTTATTGCAATTCCAATCAAAATTCCAACAGGATTTTATTTTGCAGATGATTCTGATTTATGAGAATTGATTTAGGTAAATAAGTGATCAAAAGAACCCAGAAATGTTTTGCATAAGAAGAGTGATATGGAGGAATTCACTCGACCAGATGTTAAAACATACTCTTTTTTACAGGGGGGGAGTCATGTGGTAGCTGTATTTATTTTTTCAGGAACCTCCATACTGTTTGTCACAGTGGATGCATAAAACATACTCTATAAAAAAAAATTAAGTGAGGCGTAAGTATGGGTCCCAATAGCTAGATAAGAGGCACAGAATAGATGACTTAGAAACGCCCTAGTATATATAAAAATTTAATGTATGACAAAAATGATTTCACAAATTAGTGAGAAAAGATAACACAATACATGCTATGAGATAATTGGTAACTTTCAAGAAAAATGGTTAGAATTGTATCTTACAGCTTAACCCAAGATTAATTCAATTCCAGATGAGTTAAATGTAAAAAATAAAGCTAAACCACTCTAAGAAAACATAGAATAATATGTCTCAGCTATCAAAGAAGACACTTTCTTCTTTTAATGTGCAAGTGATTTTTATTTATTATTTCTGTTGAAGTAAAATTGACATATAATAGGGGCTCCTGGGTGGCTCAGTTGTTAAGCGTCTGCCTTCGGCTCAGGTCATGATCTCAGGGTCCTGGGATCAAGCCCCGCATCGGGCTCCTTGCTCTGCGGGAAGCCTGCTTCTCCCTCTCCCACTCCCCCTGCTTGTGTTCCCTCTCTCGCTGTCTCTCTGTCAAATAAATAAATAAAATCTTTTTAAAAAAATTGACATAGAATATCCTGTTAGTTTCAGGTGCTCATTGTAGCGATTCGATGTTTTCTTGTCATTATGAAATGGTCCCCACGATAAGTCCAGTTACCATCTGTCACCATACAGAGTTATTACAGTATCACTGACTATATTCCCTATGCTGTACATTACATCCCCAGGACTTATTTTTTTATAAGTGAAAATTTGTACCTCTTAATCATTACCCTTGACCTATTTCGTGTGCCCCCCAAATCCTCCCCTCTCTGGTAACCAGCAGTTTGTTTCTTATAATCGGAAATCACTTTCTACATATAAAATCACAATGAAAGGGGCCACAAAAGAAAAAGGTTGGTAAATTTGCTGCCTAAAACTTAAAATTTTTACATGTAAAACAAGAAAAACACCATATACAAAAGTAGAAGGTAAATGATAGACTAGAAACATTTTGCAACAAATATAATAAAGTACTGATACTCTTAATCTGGAGAGAACTCTTATAAATTAATAATAAAACCACTGAGCATCACAAGATAAAAATGGCATAAATAAGCAATTCAAAAAGAAAGAACACACATGGCAAGTAAATCTCTGAAAACAGTTCAACCTGATTAGCAATCAAGGAAAACACAAAGGCATATTAAGATTGAAGCTGAAGCTTAGATTAAGCATCTAATTGGCAAGGCTTTTTCACGGTGATACTTCATGTAGGTAGAGTGGTAAGTCGGGCATTCTCGTTCACTGCCAAGGCAAAGGTTGGCTGGTGCAAAAGTTGGCTGTATGAGTCAAGAGAACTTCAAGTGCACAAACTCTGACCCAGTGCTTCTATATCTAAGCGTTCATCCAAAGGTAGTTGTCAGAAATAAGGACTCCGGGTGTTGACTATAATTTCATTGAGAAGAACCAAAAACTGGAAATAAATATCCAACAAAGTTGAATGGCTAAATACATCACATGTGGTCTATCCCTACAAGATAATACCACACAGCCATTTTTTTTATCATTATTTTGCTCAGTATTTATAGAAACGAGGAACCTTTCAATGAGTGAAAGGAAGGAACTATTTGGGGTGATTTTTTTCTCCTTTATACTTCAAAGCGTTTTCTGGATTTTCTCTACTGGTGATTTTACTCTTATGATAAGAATCAAACGTTGATACCCATTTTCTAATGCCCGTGTAAACACCACTTGCTGGCCCCAGGTACGCGTCTTGCTTCTGATGTAGCATCAGTTTAAGTAGCTTGAGAGCCCAGTGACGTCTCATCTTCGATATCCCCTCCACCAGCCCACCCACCGCTCAGCGCCTTTGTTGCTTTTCTGTATGTTTGCCTCTAAACATGAACGAGTGACCTGCACCCTCGTTTGCTTGCTCTAGGCCAGACCCCACTGCTGTTTCCAGAGAAAGGAAGAGAAGAATATGATCTTTCATTTTCATGTGCCCCACTCTCACCGTCTGTCCTTACCTAGGTGTTTGCTTTGTTTGCGGGGCCAGTTGGGGTGGGTTAGAAAGAAATGCTAGTTTCTCCCGCCTTGTGGAAAAACACTGACGCTGTCTTTGTTCTTATCCCACAGATATGATGCTGCCTCTTGTGTGTGGCCGATGGCACAGTAACAGTATTCTGTGCTGAGATCATTCTCAACACTCGAACATTAGACGTCAGCATTCAAGGGAAGCCAAAGCCATTGGTGGGGGAATAAAAGCCCAAAGCCTTTTATCTTAGTTGTTCCAAAAATTGCACTGCCCCTTTCCTACCTGCCCACCCACCCCCCCAAATTAAGCTATTGCACGCAGACAGGCAGCATGGCAAGCAAGCGAAAATCCACCACCCCATGCATGGTTCGGACACCACAAGTAGTAGAACAAGATGTGCCCGAGGAAGGAGACAGGGCCAAAGAGAAAGGAATCAGCACGCCGCAGCCTGAAGCAGCCAAGGACAGTTGGACAGTGGAACCCGAAAACTCTTCCAAAGAAAATGAAGTGATGGAGGTGAAATCTACAGGGGAAAACCAATCCAAAAAACTCCAAGGTGGTTATGAATGCAAATACTGCCCCTACTCCACGCAGAACCTGAACGAGTTCACAGAGCACGTCGACATGCAGCACCCCAACGTGATTCTGAACCCCCTCTATGTGTGTGCCGAATGTAACTTCACAACCAAAAAGTACGACTCCTTGTCTGACCACAACTCCAAGTTCCATCCCGGGGAGACCAACTTCAAGCTGAAGTTGATCAAGCGCAATAATCAGACTGTCTTAGAGCAGTCCATCGAAGCCACCAACCACGTCGTGTCCATCGCCACCAGCGGCCCGGCGAGCGGTGACAGCGATCCTGGGATCTCCGTGAGTAAGACCCCCATCATGAAGCCAGGGAAACCAAAAGCTGATGCCAAGAAGGTGCCCAAGAAGCCCGAGGAGGCCACCCCCGAGAACCACGTGGAGGGGACGGCCCGCCTGGTGACCGACGCGGCTGAGATCCTCTCGAGACTCGGAGGCGTGGAGCTCCTCCAGGACACGCTAGGGCACGTCATGCCTTCTGTCCAGCTCCCACCAAATATCAACCTTGTCCCCAAGGTCCCCGTCCCGCTGAATACTACCAAATACAACTCCGCCCTGGACACGAATGCCACCATGATCAACTCCTTCAACAAGTTCCCTTACCCGACGCAGGCTGAGTTGTCCTGGCTAACCGCGGCTTCCAAACACCCAGAGGAGCACATCAGAATCTGGTTTGCCACACAGCGCTTAAAGCACGGCATCAGCTGGTCCCCAGAGGAGGTGGAGGAGGCCCGGAAAAAGATGTTTAATGGCACCATCCAGTCGGTACCCCCGACGATCACCGTGCTGCCAGCCCAGTTGACGCCCACAAAGATGTCACAGCCCATCCTCCAGACAGCGCTGCCATGCCAGATTCTCGGCCAGACCAGCCTGGTGCTGACTCAGGTGACGAGCGGGCCAACAACCGTCTCCTGCTCCCCCATCACGCTTGCCGTGGCTGGAGTGACCAGCCACGGCCAAAAGAGACCGTTAGTGACTCCCCAAGCTGCCTCTGAGCCCAAGCGTCCACATGTCGCTCAGGTGCCAGAGCCCCCACCCAAGGTGGCCAACCCTTCGCTGACCCCGGCCAGCGACCGCAAGAAGACAAAGGAGCAGATCGCACATCTCAAGGCGAGCTTTCTCCAGAGCCAGTTCCCTGATGATGCGGAGGTCTATCGGCTCATCGAGGTGACCGGCCTTGCCAGGAGTGAGATCAAGAAGTGGTTCAGCGACCACCGGTACCGGTGTCAAAGGGGCATCGTCCACATCACCAGCGAATCCCTTGCCAAAGACCAGCTGGCCATCGCAGCCTCCCGACACGGCCGCACGTACCACGCATACCCAGACTTTGCCCCACAGAAATTCAAAGAAAAAACCCAGGGCCAGGTTAAAATCCTAGAAGACAGCTTTCTGAAAAGCTCCTTCCCGACCCAAGTAGAACTGGATAGGCTAAGGGTGGACACGAAACTGAGCAGGAGAGAGATTGAATCCTGGTTCTCGGAGAGACGGAAGCTTCGGGACAGCATGGAGCAAGCTGTCTTGGATTCCATGGGGGCTGGCAAAAAAGGCCAAGACGTGGTGGCCCCCAACGGTGCTCTGTCTCGGCTCGACCAGCTCTCTGGGGCCCAGCTAGCCGGTGCTCTGCCCAGCCCCTCACCAGCAATTACGAAGAGCCAAGAACAGGTCCATCTCCTGAGGAGCACGTTTGCAAGAACCCAGTGGCCTACCCCCCAGGAGTATGACCAGTTAGCAGCCAAGACCGGCCTGGTCCGAACTGAAATTGTGCGTTGGTTCAAGGAGAACAGATGCTTGCTAAAAACCGGGACCTTAAAGTGGATGGAGCAGTCCCAGCACCAGCACCTGGCCGGCGAGCACGCTTACGACGCCGCACAGAGGAGAGCCGCGAGGGCCGGCACCGCCGAGAGCCCGAAGAACGGGAGCGAGGTGGCTCAGCCACATTACAAGGACCCCAGAAAGCTCTGCGAAGAGGACTTGGAGAAGTTGGTACCCAGGGTGAAAGTGAGCAACGAGCAAGCAAAAGATGGGGCGCCGGCCAAGCCTCCAGAAGCCACCTCGGACAGGTCAGAGGGCAGTGGCGGGGACGGCCCGGGCAGCGATGAGAACGAGGAGTCGGGCGTTGTGGATTGGGTGGAGGTCACGGTCGGAGAGGAGGACGCCGTCTCAGACAGGTCCGACAGCTGGAGTCAGACCGCAGCCGAAGGCGCCGCAGAACTGGCCGGCTCGGACTCCGACAGCATCCCTGCCGAGGCCGGCCAGGCCTAACAGGTAACTCCACCTGCTCTCCACCCAGGGAACGAGGGGAGCATGCTGCTTTTCTTTCTTTTTATTGCCGGGGTCAATAGAGGTTGTAGGGGACAGAGATGTTGACACAGATGATGGGGTCTTGTTTTTAAAAGGAAGAAAAGTAGTGATGCCAGCAGGCCGGGTCGAAAGACCCAGAGGGGGTCCTGCAGGACCAGTCAAGAGGGTCGTTGGCTTCACGTAGGATGGCACGCAGGTGCGAGCCAGCAGGATGCCAGAGCAGAGTCTGCTGAACAGATAGAGAGAGAGCAGATAAAGAAGGAGGGAGGGTCTGGGAGACTCAGAAAGGAAAGGAGCATGAGTCCCGTCTTTGCTTGGGGTCTGGGGTCTTTATTAACGATTGTGGTCTGGTGCATGTGGCCTCTCAGACACCCAGGAACTGGTCAGAACAAGGACAGGGCGCAGGTGTCCTCCTAAGTCTCTCATTCCCTGGAGCCCAGAGGGTCTTGACGTAAGATGTCTAGCGCCAGTGGTCTGGAATAGGCAGATGCACCTGCCGGCCTCGCCCGGTCATTCCTGGGATGTTACCTGTTGTGCTGGAAGGCTCCAGAGAAATCATTAACTCCTTGCCCCTTACAAGGAGGACATACATTAAGGCGTGCGTAGGGCGGAGGTGCAGGTCCTCTCGAGAACAGAAGCAGGAAAGGGAGCGAAAAGCAGACTTTTATGGGCTCCTTCAGTTTCCTTGTAGTGACTCACAAGGGGCTGGCAGATTCTGTGTCCCCATCTGCAAGGCTGAGGGGTGACGATGCTGCTGCCCGTGGCCTGTTTTGGACACCACCCTCCGGGGCCTGTCCGTTCGGAAGTCTAGATGCAGTTGTAGCCCGGACAAATCCTTCGCCTGCTTTGTGTTCACTGCTGTAAGAAACAAGCGCGAAAAGGATGTGTCTTTTCCTTTCTCTTTCCTTTTTTTTTTTTTTTTTCATTTTCTTTCCTTTTTGGATTTTTAAGAGTAATTAACCAAGTTTACTGGCTAGAGATTTGGGGTTGTTTCTTTTAACCTGACAGGTCTGGGTATTTGCCTTGGCGTGGCTAAAGGAAGGCACGGATCTCACTAAGTAACCCAGCTCCTAATTGTGCTGATTGGGTCCCTGGAACCCCTTCAAATCTGGAAGAGACTGATGTAAATGAGGCCTGTGGAGCCACAAAAGCCTGGGAAGGGAGGTTACCATGGTTACTAATGGCCATGTCATCCACATGATGGGACATGCCACCCAAGCCCTGGTGTTTGTGCTTTCACGAGAGGTCTGTGCACATCAAGGCCTAAAAGCCCAGCCGCCTGCTTGGTGGTGGGTTTAGAGTAGAGGGGGCAGCGGGGAGAGGGGTGCAGGAGGCAGAGATCACCTTGGCCAAAGCCAAAACGTTCCAAGGGCAGCTTGGAACCGGGAGGAAGATGTGTGATTTACAATCTGCCCGGATGGGCTTCTCCAGAGGTCACTTAAAAGGCAACAGAAGGGGACCCCGCCTCCCGCCCCCCGCGTCATCTTTTCAACTAATAAAATAAAGGTAAGAACCTCCAGAATGATTGAAAAGGTTCCCAAGGGAGCCCTGGAAATTACCATACCTCTTTATTAATGAGTTCAGACAACTTTGGTCAGCCACTCATCGACTCATTTATTTTGTAGTAAGATAAGGTGCCTGCCAACAAAATAAAGTCTTCTGGAAACCCTGTTTTAGCCAGTTCTATCAGCTACTGAAAGAGCGATTTAAGGGACAGTCAATTGCAGATGCCAGCAAGTGTTCTTCCCCCCTGCCCCCCTACCCCGACTTTTCAGGAGGGAGTGGTCATGGGTTACAGGTGAGGATGCAGCACAGCGGGGAGGGGCTGGTGATAGGAGGGGGCTAAAGGCTACGGAGGCCACCGAGAGTACCCACTGCCCCCCACCATCTGGCTACCCTGGTTCCTCCCTCTGGCTATTTTCCTGCCTTCTTTTGAAACCCTACCAGCCCCACTCATATCTTCCTTGTTGAAATGAGGGAGCGATTTTTTTTTGTCCAGTCAGAATCTGCCTGAAAGCTCCTTGTTTGCCTTGTCTTCCATCCTTGACCTTTTCCAGTGCCTGACAGAAGTCTACGTGATTGCTTTTTCCTCCTGCCGTGGAGCAGACAATAGTGTTCAGTTCAATTCAGCAAATCCATTCTGCACTCCTACTGTGCGCCAGGCTCTGTGCTAAGCACCAAGTTAACGGGATGAAGAAGACAGATGAGAGTCCTCACTCACATGGAACTCAGTCAGGCCGAGGAGAGAGGAAATTGCTCTTTCCTTTACTGGCCGGGGTGATCCATGGGGTGATGGGGACGTGCACAACTGTGCACGGGAGCACTCAGGAGGGGCACCCAGGCTGAGGTCAGGGCAGGCTGCCTGGAGGAAGGGACATCTGTCTCAGGGGCTAGCTGAGGGGAAGGAGTTAACCAGTGCACCAACAAGGAAGAGTGGTTCATGTGGAAGCAGCAGACAAGGCAGAGAAGGAACGGTACAGTTGAGGAGCCAAGAGAGTTGGGGCATAGCCAGCAAGCTGAGTGTGGGGCTCGGGACGATGGGAAAGGGCAACTGGAAGAAAAGACGTTGGTTTTCCCCAGCAGGCAAAGCTATTCCGAACCAGTCGTGTTGCGAGTGTGAATATGAGAATGCTAAGTGTCCCTGTCTCCCAGAGTGAGCTCGGGTGGCACTTCCAGATCCCCATCCCTGAGTGGGGGTTGTCTAGAGGGAGGCCTCTAGATGGACGCCCCTGTGGCCACCTGTCCCCATGCCTTCTCCTCCAAGCTGTACCACCACCAACAGCTGAAAATGCCCACCTATGTTGCCTGTCACCGTGTGGCCCCTGACCTGAGGCCCGAGAGAAACACAAAGAGGGGACACAATGCTAGAACCACAGAGAGAAGCTTTGGAGGGAAGGGCAGAAGGATGGAAGGGAGCGGTACAAGGCCTCCTGAGGATCCGAGGCGGGGCTAAGTGCTCTGGCCACAGATGGTCTCACTCAGTGCTCCTAGTGATGCTGACAGGTAAGCTTCTCTAGATTTTTTTTCTTTTTTAAGATTTATGGGCTCGATCCTATGACCCTGAGATCATGACCCGAGCCAAAATCAAGAGTCAGACACTCAACCGAGCCACCCAGGTGCCCCTCTGGATTTTTATAAACCCAGAAACTGAGGCTCAGAAACCAAGGAGCTTACCCCATACTCCTAGCCCCTTGGCTCCACCCCAGAGCCCTAGCTCCTACAGCTGTCTCTGGCTCTCTATTTTTGATGGAAATTCCCCATTTCCGGCTGACCCCCCAGCAGTGGGGTTGGGAGCTGGGGAATACCTAGGGTGTTTAGAATCGACCATTAAACATTAGACAATTCGGAGATGAAGGAACTAGCTGCTTTCTTCCCCTCTCTCCCCCACAAAAAAAAATCAGGAACACCCAGATACCCCCTTTTACGTTTCTTTATGGTAAACGCCACAAGCATGAGCTGAAAAATGTTCCTAAACAAGATGCTAAGATCTGCTCGACACCTGGTGACATCTGACATCCCTACTTGGCTTCCTGATATTTCCGAGGTGCCACTATGTGGAGAGACGGTCTGCCATCCACACTGGGGGTGGCATCCTGGACAGAGGCACCCCTTAAAGGAACCTTTCAACTTGGAAGAAATCCCTCCAAATTACTTCACAGCTTTTATGAACTGAACACATGGGTCTCTTGAAATTCATAAATATTCAGTGATGCCTTTATTTAAACACATATTTATTTAGGAAGCTGCAGTTGAGTTCAGTTGTTACACATACAGTAATCCTGAAAATAATGCACAGTTTTGGCTTCAGAAAAGGTGTTAGGGGCCATATATACGAGAGAAAGAGAGAGAGAGAGGATGAACTTGGGTGAGCCCCTGAGAGCAGACGCCTGGGTTTCCCCCTCGGTTGGAGTTAAACATCCCCTCTGCTAAAGCTTCCCAAGGCTTACGACAGCGTCCGACTCAGGCCGGGCTCCCTCAGCCTTGAGGTTAGACAGAAAGATAAGGAGTCCTTTCCAAACCTTGAATTGTGTTGTCTTGATTCAACCTCTGGGTCTAATTATCGAGCCATCCATTGAGAGACCTGTCCTGGTGAGAGGCTGAACAGTAAATTCCTCCTTTCCGAAAAATGAGTCAGAATACTTGAGCCACACATGGCCAGACATATGCCTCGATGTTTGGCCAGATGGAACATCCCAGTACTCCTACTACTAAGAGTTTCTATTTACTGGTCTATGCCATGTGCTTGGGATTCTTCTAAGCACATCCAGTAAATCATTTAAACTTCACTTCATCCCCCGTGGAGGTAGGTGTGGCTTTCTTCCCATTTTGCAGAGGGCAAAACTGAGGCTCAGAGAGACTTGCCCTGGGTTCCCCAGCTCGCAGCTGGTGGAGTCTGAAGGCCATCTCTTGTCTGTCAGGCCAGCTCCTGACCCAACCACGGGGGCAGCATCAATATAGCTCTGGCCGGACCAACAGGACTTGGCCATTTCTTAATACTACACACAAAAACTAATACACGGGGCGCCTGGGTGGCTCAGTTGGTTAAGCGACTGCCTTCGGCTCAGGTCATGATCCTGGAGTCCCGGGATTGAGTCCCGCATCGGGCTCCCTGCTCGGCAGGGAGTCTGCTTCTCCCTCTGACCCTCCCCCCTCTCATGTGCTCTCTCTCTCTCAAATAAATAAATAAAAT